TTGTCTTAAGAGTTCACTGTTGAAATCAAATAGGACTAATAATAATTGGCAATGGCCGCACCAAGTGAACCAATGCCGCCTCTTTTAAAATCACCATGGAAAGGTATGTGGAGAGGGGTTTTACTAATTTCTGTTTCAAAATAACCTACTTCGTCAACAAAAGATATGGAATATTGCCTATGCCCGTTGGCAAGAACGCTGATCGAATGACAATGAATTCGACCTCCCTCGGTATTTCCTCCTGTCTTGTGCTAGACACTAGGACCTATCATCCCATTGTTCGGAGAGTATTTCAACATCGTTAATTGTGGCTAACAAGATTTGAACAATCGGCGAAATCAGCCAGCTCCCAAAGTAGCATTTGCCCTGTGACGATAGCAAAGAACATCTACAACACTGTTTTTAATTCGGCAAACTTCAAAGTTGAAGATGTTTCTGCAAAATCCAAAGCCAATCATTCATGAGTTGAGTTGAAAATGGTTTGCTTTTCAGGTTTTTTGAGACAAAACGCAAGGAAAGTCTGTCAAAATAGACCTCCTTAAGATAACACACCGATGTCTTTGCATTATTCGCCGTTGAGAGCCAGGTTGCGGTTGTAGAGACATTCGCCAGCCGTACGTATACGGTGGACTAAACTGTCTAACTAGATGTTCCGATTAATTGGGGTGTGTTTTAAATTATTTTTTTTGTGTGGACATCCGACTTTGTTTTAAAAATGGTGTCGTTTTTGCCTTAGTAAAAATAAAGCAGGCCCCAGCAGCAAGTTCATGTTAGGTGTCAAGGTCTAAATTCTGGTTGGAACGAAATGCATCCGACACAATTTTTCAACGCTGAATGTAAGATTTTTTTAACCAAAACCTTGATGAGAGACTTTGAAAGCAAAATGAAATGTTCTTCCCTAACAAACTCCTCAACATAACGCTAAAACGAAAAAAAATTACCCACGATTTTGCGAATCTTGATAAAAAGTAGTTTGTGGTTTATTCAATTTACAAATAGTGGTGCGTTTGTTTGAGTCAATGGCAAGGTAGATGAAGGAAGACTAAAGTGAGTACAATGATGTCATGTGCCATTGTACTCACATGTGCCATTGTTTTCGCAAAAACGCCTGTTATGTCAAGCCATGGATAAGTTAATCTGAGTCGAAGACGAATTCAAATCCTAAACGCAACAATTTTTCGAGTTTGTTAGTGTAAAATCTTGCAAATAAATCTGAAATATCGTTCAACTTTGTCGGGTCTTTTTTGTACAAGATTTTGGAATTTGCACGTTCGCATTCAATGCCAGCGCCTAACAGGGCTGCCAATTTATCAATTGCAAATTTCAAACCGTTTAAATTTGTTTTAAATACATGACTTCCGTTTTTGTTCACTCCTAAAACAGCCAATATTTTGACCTATCAACATGATTGAGTTGTAAAATAAAAATGAATTTCTGTTGTTTGTAAGTTTACTCGAATCATTCACACATCTAGAGACTGATCGCATGTTTTCACACAAATTGGCGCCGAATTGGAAACTTGTGATACTTTTTCTCGCTCGACTTCGAAATCGTATGGTACATTTTAAAGTCAAGAGCAAGGTTATTTGGGTTAACAATCAAAGGATTCCATTGAACAGATTAATGCCACTTTTCCTGATAAGCACAGAATAATTTTTGATATTTGCGTCAATTTTGTTTGAGCCAAGAGCATCTCTCTATGCTTCACTTGATTTTAATGCTAGATGGAAATTAGCTAAAATTACTACAAATCTAATTTGAGAAAGATTAGGAAAAAGCATAGATTATGCTTTTGTCGGTACAATCTTCAGATATTTTGATCACGTGACAAGGACAATTGGTTGTAGTGTCCTCACAAGTTCAGGATTTCTTCCAAAACCAATATTTGATGAAGTTATTTAATTTGTAATCTAACCATCTTATGATTTTAGTTTGTCTACCTACCCACAATTACTGTAGCGGCCAACGTTATTTTCAGCAGGCGGCATTTGAAAATTCCGCTTTGAACAATTAAATATCGCCTCCAATTAAATTAAATTAACGCATGTGCGCAAAGCACCCATTATTTGCCAAAGTAGCTATTAGGTTCACTAAGGCGTAACCACGACGCATATTCAGACAGGAAATTTAATGTGATTAAAAGTGATCGAAAAAATAAAATCCTAATCTCAGTTCTTTTTATGATTTGTACTAAAATTTCTTTCCTACCACACTCACGTCAACATTTTACTATTCCCATACGTAATGTGAAGATAATCATAAATTAGAACCAACTCCCTTTGATTGCAAAAGCGGATTTGACCAGTTAGGGTTAAGGGAATTGATTTTACCGATTTAAATAAATCAAGTTGGGCTTTGTTCTTTAATGACTAATTGAAGTCGCTGGCAAGATGTCATCTTTTTTTGAAGTGCCCTTTTCATACATGAAGATCAATTGTGAGATCAAACACATGACCCTTCAGTAGATGGAATTCAGTAATTTCACAAGAAAATCTCTTCAGATGGCAATAATTGGGATCAAAATAAATTACTTCAGTGTAATGCTACCTATTTCCAACGCTCGAATCCGGTTTATGTATCTCCAGTCAAGGAGCATAGGTGCCGTCGAGGCAGCAAAATGACAATTATTTAAAATTTTTTTAACCAGTGAAACCATTTTCTTAACTCTTAGAAACTCGCAAAAATTGCATCACTCAACATGCAAGAACGTTATCTTGGGTCGCCTCAATAAAAAATTACAGAGATAACCTTCAGAGCAGAACTGCTTTGCCACAAACCTGGGATTCGCGTACAGAGTTTGCTTTTTCGCATTGACTGATCTGTAGTGGTTCTGGAAGCCATGTTGCTTGTCACTCACCGAAATCTACGAACGTGTTATGGAAGAGACAAGTCACGCTATCCGAATTCGATAAATTTGACACGTGGCCTTAAATTATAAATTATTAATGGGTACATTGTCAATGCAATGAGATGGGTTCACCAGACCTCTCAATCACCATTCCAAAATTTTCGTAGTCTCTATAGAAATTTGTGTTTTTCGTGTGTTTTTACCACCAGGGTACATGGAACCCTTTTCACTAGTCAACCTCAATTTCCTTCTGCTGTTTGCTTTCCATAATTTGAAACCACTAATATTATGTATTGATCGCAACTATGTTGGTGCATTTATACCTGGTAGCACGGAAAGGACTAAACGTCAATGGATTTCGAGTAAGTGGGAATTGGCAGTTCATCCAGTGGTGTTTGGCTAGCAGAGAAATGCCAGCTCTGCGAGAACACATTCCCCGTTGAGTTACACAACTTGGTTACTGTGTGCATTTCAACCAGTGACAAAAGAAGGCAATTAGTCTGTAGCCGAAAACGGTAGGCAATGAGCAAATCCTTTTCTTTTTTTAAGCAATCCACTTTTTATCTCTACTTGGCGGAACCATTTAGCCTTGAGATGTTGCTTCTCTATTTGAAATTCTAATAGCTATACACCACCATAAAGCGGTCAACGTTATCTAAAAATTGCAAAAAATACTAACTGACTACAGATTATGGTTCACGAGTTCCGATTAACTCGTCCTTTGATTTTAGTACGAACCACATTTAATCTAACTAAAGTTACAAAATTTAACTTTTACTAGTGATAGTCTAAACGTGAAAAGTAGAACTAAATCGCTTTGCATCCGAGGAACTTGAAACGAGTGTCTGGCTAATTAGATTTCCTGACTCCGACTGTCTAGATATTATTGATGTAATCCAAGTAAGCGACGTCCAAATTTGACTAAGTTCTATTCAAAGTTCTTCATGAAATTTGGTCAAAAGACGGCGGCCAAAGAGATTACAAGTACTAATATTTGCAGGGCCGTTAAAGACTACTCACTAATGCACTACATACGTGAACTGAATGTCATGAACGGCACTGTGGCTGATTGATTGATCGTCTAACAATCGAGGTCGCTTGGGTGTAGCCAGTGTCGTGGAGTTGTTCATAAGATTTTCTTAAGCTGGTCCCACTACCCTCGTAAGCCGGTTTCCTTCCTGCAGACTTTTTATCTCGTAGACTGTGATGGATGGGGATTGTTTGAATCGACAGCTGCTGCCCCAAAGGTTCCGTTGCAGAATTTCGAGGTGGTTTTTTTTTAAAATTCACTTGGCAACAAAACCTACCAGACGTTTCGAGAGGCCGATCATGGTTACAAGAGTTACTGAATTTCCCATTTCAATGCGAAAAAAGTTAACTAATCATGTAATGCATGTTATCCGCAGCATTACTTAAATATTTTTAGTTGAATCCCATCAAACACCAAAACAATGACTGAATATTGCTCGTTCCTGACGTATATTACAGTTCTCGAGATGGTCGGAAGCTCTTTGAAATATACGACCTGTATATCCGTCTAGACGTGAGCTGATATCGCTAATTTAAATCAAGTCCAGAACGGCCCTGCATCCAGTTACGAAACCGTTTTTTTCTTATTGAATCCACTGAGAGCTATCCACCTTGTCTGTTTTCAAAATGGTGTCTGAAAAATCCTAGCTGATATTTAATCTAACATCGCAATAAGTTTAGTGCGCTCCTAGTGCATGGTTTATGATAAGGTAGAGCCGCTTAAAATACTAAACGAAAACATTAAAATGATGTCGACATATTTCTTACTTATTGTGACTGAACCCGACCAATCGAATCTTGATTTTTGGTGATGAAAAAATAGATAATCGATAAAAGTAACAGAATTTAACCACAAAGGCTGTAGAGCCCAGTACCATTATATCAAACTTGTGAAACCACCCAGATAAACTTTCCTCGGTATTATGAATGTCATTATTAAAAAGCACGAAATGTTGAACTTTGGAGTCATTGGATGGATCCTCTTAAACGATTAATCAAACACGTGGCCTCTCTAGACTCCCTGTAACTTGAAGCCCATCTTTAATCACACAAAGGGCAATTTTATGAAGACATTTCTCTTTGCAAACTCCTTTGGCGTCAGCTGGAGACTCAGGGTGCTCGTATGGCGGCTGTTCAGCTCCCCCAGCACCTTGCCACAAGTTCCGCTACAGGTCCAGAGAGTGAACAGTTGACATTGGAGGGCCACATGGACTATATGGCTTGCACTGTCATTACCGTAAAGGCTCTGCCACAGTTTCAGTTAGCTGACTCCGCAGAATACTTGACTGGCCTTTGCGACCGCCTGGACATTGCCAAATTACAACAGCAATCTCATGTAGAATAAATAGCCTTCCTTTCTGCGTCATTCGAATCCGCCGTAGAAGAGGACCTGAACTCTAGGTCTTATGCCTACCTTTTCAATTTAAACGAATAGAGGCTGTCGTCTGGATGGCTCTGTTACAGCGCATCTTTTTTATCAGGCAACGCATCACCCTCACGCCTTATAAGAATTTCACTGGTAACTCAAGGAAAAAGCATCTCAGCTGCGCACTAAAAGACTGCTCAAGGCCTCAGGTTGGCCGTATCAGGCTATCTGAATCCGTTCTATGTCCGCCTCGCCCTCGTGACTGCTCATTTTCCCTTTCAAAGTGCCCATTTCGACGCTCGAGCGCTATAGCACTACCGACGAATTGGGTTCCCAATATACTCACCGACGCGAAGATTCATTCCAGTCCTGAAGCTATCAAGGCTTATAATGTCATTCTTTACAAAAAAGATCCTTCATTTGCTCCTACGTCTCGAAATTCATTGACACCGCAAATCGTCTGCCTCCAAGAACAGAGGCCAAGCAGGCGACAGTGAATACGGCATTTTACTATCGTCAAACTACCCAAGTGTCATTCTGTACATTTGCGGGAGAGTTAATACCGACTGTCAATCCGATCAACTCCAGAATAACCTTCTCTTGCCCTCTATCACGGTAACTTTATCGCAGGCTTATCACAATCACTCAAACTGGTAAACGTGAAGGTTGCAAAAGATAAATTGACCCATTTGTCTAGAATTCTGAAAGCATTTGGGCGGAGCTTGCAATTTCGATGCTATATAAGTTTTATTCAGCTTGAATAAAGTGTAAAGCAATGAAAAAGCAATTATTTTGCTCATGGTTTCACGAAGCAGATATCCAATTGTCATGTCATCGATTTAAAATGGGTGCTGGCGTAGCGTTTTACCGGGACAATTTCAAGGAAATTTAGTTCTCGATGCTTGCTTTTCCAACTTTGGCTCTGTGCTTTTTTACTGGAGCTAACTGCGTCAGTATGTATTCTCGTGCCTGTCTACCCACAAGTAACTTGAATTAATAAAAAAATACCAGTTATTGCGTTTTAGCCACATCAAGCATTACCACCGATGACAGATTTTGGAAATATAATAATCAGTTCACGCAATCGATCTTGTTTCAAATCCAACTAAGATTTTATTACAAAGCCATAAGGATGAAGAAATCCAAACAGAAGTAGTCTAGATCATTTTTAACACGATCAAATAATCAAGCCTGGAGCCCTTGAAGAAGTACCCAGGCAACCCTTGGGCAACATTTGAACTTAGGAGCAGGAAAGGTAGCGTGGATAGGACCCATCGAATTGAACACAACTGTCTGTTCACCCGCTCGGCATGATGTGTCATCGTTGGAGTGTGCGTGGGCGTGTTTGTAGAAAAGTAGGGGTGAGTCACAGACGCCAATCAACTCGAGACAAGCCTATCTGGACGAGTTTCTTCTAACACTTTCTTGGCTGTGGTAAAGTTGAATTTAAACAAATATGATGACAGCACATACCGGTGCTTTGCATACTCCTGCTGACCAATTTGTGAGTCTTAACGTTTGAAATATGGCCATAGCAAGTTGGAAATGTTGGGTAAGAATGGAACTGGCTATTCGTTGGTTGGATACGCCGGTTATGCACTACCGCGTAAGCTGCATTCAAGAATAAAGCCCTTGGACAACATTATGGAAAGCATCCACCTATTGACTAATGCCCTTGACAAGGAAAGGTGGTCCAGCGCTCGTCACTATGCTTCTACTGACAAGTCACCCAGAAGTGTCAGGCACTTTCACTTTGACATAAATGCCGGTTAGAACTTTGCGTTAACGCTTAGCTATATTCCCAAAAATCCATGACAATAGTAACCATCTTTTGTTAGACCTCTGCATCCTGTCACAATGACCCATGTTTGCTTCTCTAGTGCCTCGAATACTGAGAAAAAGAAATAACATGGTCGTAAGGGAGGCACTTCTTCGGAAAGGGCAGCAACTCGTGCAAAACTTGCTCAAGTTACGTTTGTGGTGGTAAACCTTGGACAAGCATGAATGGTTAGGCATGACATGATAAAAAATCGCTTTGACTCGAAGCTTTTCAGCACAACGACTGCCGGAGAAATTAAACATGACAAAGCTTACCGTAAATGACGAATTGAAAAGAGTGCGGCTACTTGAAAAGGCGATGTTTGAGTGGTGCAGGCAATGGGTGGGAATGCTCTTTTCATTGTATTTGGCCTGCAACACCTTGTTGAAACACTCGAAAATGAAATTTTTGGAACAAATGATAATTACGTCATAAGCCTCGGTATCTGATGTTGATGTCAATATTTGTGACCACCTTATCATCGAAACAATGTTTTTATGCAGTAAGATGGTGAGGGTTTAAAGCTAAACACAGTGTAAACTTAGCAATCATAATAGCAGGCTGGTAAATAATGCATCAGAAGTATTTATTTAGTAAATGCCTCGCAACATGTGGACACACCAAGATAAGTCACGTTAAAAGCACTTAGCTACTAGGGCCTGTTGTAAGTGCTCATCCAAAACGCGCCGCCATTGTCAAATTGACTTCTTTTTCATTGTTTGAAGATGACAGCATGTTTTGTTTTCAGTGTTTGCTACAACAAGTACGCCGAGAAATGCATTCTGGCAAGCGCATTGATGAGCTTTATGCAGGCCTCTATCCAGGAGCAACTATTTTCGCACTTACCAACTTTACTGGTAACTAGTGACTAACAATGGTAGAAAATTCATCTTGCGTTCTGTTTGTTTTGGTTCAAGTTCAAAGCTTCCTTCTGACTAATGCCCGAATCGTTGACTACCCGATAGTCTATTGCAATGAGGGTTTTGCAAAGATGACCGGATACAGTCGGGTGGATATCATGCAGAAAAGTGGCAGCTGCGCCTACCTCTACGGGGAGCAGACCACGCAAGAAATGAAGGATCGTTTGATGCAGGCCTTGGACAACCAAGAGAGGGAGCAATTGGAGATTTTGCTCTACAAGAAAAATCGTACGTCCGGAAAGGCTTGGGTGACAGTTAGCAGAGTGCCGAACTTCACGCAAAGGTGATTTTCCTTCACTTGAGAATCGCTATAACTACGGCTAGCTTTTACTGACACCTTGGAAATAGTGCAGGATATTTCGGACCAGCCATTACATCAAAAATATCAATACTGTAGGCGAATTAAAGTGAGATTTGTCATCGGAATTACCGTGTAATCGATCAAAATCGGTTTTTCGAACATGTCTAGATGTCACGAAATGCCAAAAACATACATGGTTTACTTTAACAACGAACGAAAGACAATTTAGTCTATGAAAAGTGAATGCATAAGTGCATGTAGCGGTTGCTTTAAGTATTGCTAGGTTTCAAAAACAACAGGACATCGACTAAGTCATCTTGGGAATTAGTATCACTTTAGATACTGAAAAAGGTGGTATTTAACCGCCTTTCATGAGTAATGTGTGTTTACTTTTCATGATGCACCTACAAGACAAAAATGATGGCAAAAAATTAGAATAAGGAAACACCGAAGCAACTTATAAATTCAACGATACCAGAGGATGACTTTGTGGTTTCTAGGATCTCCTAAAGGCAGCTTCAGGGGAAATCGTTTTTAAAATGTACTAATAATAGGGAAGTAGTACATGACCTTCCTAGTAAAATATTGCCTATTCGCCAATTAGGCACATGACCATTTAAAAAACAGATGTCCTTTTTGAGAAGATCCACCTGCAAAATTTTCGCGTTTTAGTGAAGGAGCTGATCCGAAATATTGTGTATCCTATTTCGCTAAGATCAGTAAAGCCAAGCTCAAGTTATGACGATGTAAAAATGGAGGAAAAGCTGCCCTTGCTGTGATGTTAAGTTTTACTACGCCTAGTAATATGATCTTACATTCACGTGCACATCTATCACGATGTTAGTCGAATCCGAGACGTGATTATTCTCAGTGTTTTAGCGTAAATTAAGACCGACGTCTCGTCATTTGCCGGATTAAGATGTTATCTCGAAGCAAATTCTCCTTTTAATTTTATAACATGTTGATGAGACCTGTCATATTTAAATTGGCTCCCAATTCTGTTTTGGGTTTGGTCAAGTAAATCCCCTCATTTTACAAAAACGATTTACTGCAATTCCCTGTCCTGGAAAGCCAAACAGTCATGTGTCATTATTTCTGGTTTAAGTTAGCCTACACCACAGTCGCAAGATATCTGCTCTTTCTGAACAGCCTGATTGCATTTTAATGTTAGCAATCATGCAAAAATATCGCCAATCAGTCATCTTAAACACATCTCGATTTAATATGCTATTGCGGGCCTGTGATGTCTTCCTTTCCTGTTTATGTTAGGCACGCCTCTCTGGTTGATGATCTACATAGCCCCGGTTGTGAATGAGAGGGCCGAAACGGTCCTTATGTTACTCACTTTCAGGGACATCACTGCGCTCAAAACTCCAATTGACGACGATGAGTCCAATAAAGGTTGGTTTGACTGCATTTCACAGTAATTTTGGGTGATAAGAGTGTCGTGCAGGGCTAACCAACGCGCCTTCATGTTTTAGTTTACAGCAAATCGCCTTGTGGTTTCTGTGGTTACCACGGCCCTTTGCCATTTGACATCGTGACATCCCGCATTTAATTCCACATGCTATAACCCAGGCTGTAAGTCTCCTAACAGCAATTGGCCCAGCTGAAAATTTAATCTTTTGGGGTTGTCATGCGCGTGCTCTCCAACAGGATGGTTAAGGCAAGCATTGAGCAGCGTCTCACCACAAAAATCGCTTTGGCATAGCTTTTTCCTAAGTGGCAGTAGAACCGGTCAAGGCATTTTTGTACACAAAACAAATAAAAAGGCATTATTCATAGGTAAAAATGCGTTCTCCGGTGAGATATCAATTCATGGAAGCAGTCTTTTTTGCGACATAGTACAAGGAATGGCAAAGATTCTCAAAGAGCCAACGGTTAATTGTAGGTCGGTTTTCCTACTAAAGCACAACGTCGATTCCCTTTCCTGAAGTATCAGGCAGATAGGTATTTGACTGTTTTATCACTTGAGTAGCTGGCCTGAACAAATTCGCCAGGCTGGCACGCTCAGTTACACGCAATCGAACAATGCTTCAGCAGATGACGAGTGCGACCCCCACGCCCCAACCGAACGCCATTTCCTCCCCCGACTGGAATATGCTCAGCCCCGACGTGGCCGAGGGGAAGCAGCGGACCACCCCTTCGCCCCAGACACCCTCCCCACAACCCCCTCACGCCGGTGACGAACAGGGACTCCTTGCGTCGACACCCAAAACTCAAACCGACCTGGAAAAAGGAGCTGCCGTAAGATCCATTCGAGAATTTGACCCTCTCTAGTGGCAAACGCACACACCTTTTCGATTAGGTACATGCGGTGTCTCGCATATGAAGATGGTTAGGAACCAACTATTCATGCGTTTCTTAAACATATTTTTAACGAACACATTTATTTGGATCAAATTTTATCCAAACCAGGGTATTCCAACTTATCGATGACAATGAAATGACCTGTGTTCCACTCAACGTCATTCCAATGGTCAATCCTGAAACACAAAATACTCTTCATTAAGTGAATCCAGCGTTTATGCTACTGTATGAAGCCTCGAAGACGTCAACCTTTGAAAACTTTAGATAAATAGACCTTTCAAAGGCTGAAAATGGAAAAGGCCAATGACCATTAGCTTGGTGATGAGTCATTACGAATTTCAAACGAAAAGACAGTTCTTCCAGCGCCATACGATGACACTGCTCGTTGGTAGGCGTCATGTGCGAGTGAGTCAGTCATGTGAAAAAGTGTCGGAGATAAATTAACCAATCCCCACAGAGAGTTGGAGGGACAAGCATCAAACCCACCCTGTTAGTACCGATACCAGTAGCTCATCCTAGCGACTGAAGGTACTCTGGGGTTAGAGCTATCCGTAAAACATCTGCACCCTTCTGACCCCTTCATGAAAAGAACAGGTTCCAAATGTGAAGGCCATGCAACCTTTGATTCCACATTTTCCTTAGGAGGCGATGAATTAAAAGTTATTAACATCAACCAAAAGATATGCGAAAGTGTAAATGGAGAACTGTGGTCACAGCAATAAGTGTTTTAAAAAATTTGAATAGATTTAAAGCAAAGCAGGTTTGCTTGTATCAGGGACTTACAGACATAGGGAAAACGGATAGCAGAATGATTTAACAAACAACAACCGACATTGAATGTAAATTGAAATTGTCACTAGGTGACCAAAACTTCAGACGCAGGGGTAAAGGAGTCTGATCGCAGAATGATGACCAGGCATTTTCAGGTAAATTTAAAAAATGTGCTCGAGATGGTTTCGTTTTACCACAAAAGGGTGTTTGTAGTGGGTACGGCATTCAAACGGTAACAGCGGTAGTAATTATAGCTTAAGTAAACAGATGGGGATGAAGCAGGTCTTGATGATTTTTTTCGAAATTGAAGAGGGTTAGTTGGGTAAACTCAAATAACATATTCGCACTGGGAGCTGCAGTGAGAATCCTTGTTTACTCAACCCGTTTACCGCCGGTATCAGACAGCACGATTTGTGGGCACCTTTTAGATAATAAAATAATTTTGTGGCTGGCTTCCTAGGCAGCAGATTTCTTAAAATAGACATCAACCAGACAGGTGGGCAATGAAATTTACAGGGTCTGGAAAACCACAAAACGGTGGTTTTTTAAAAACGGTTGATGATAGAAATAAATAGCCCATTTTTCAAATTCTGTGTGGATCAACTATGGTTCCACAATTTGAAATAATGCAGAAAAAGCGTGACATCGAGCTTTCTATGACAGCTCGAATTTAGACTTACGCTTAATTGAATAACATCATCTCAAATATTGTTCCAAATTCAAAAAGTTAATCATTTTTTTACACTTTTGAATAATAGAGCAAATTTATTTTGTAGACATTCGCGTCATGGATGGATGTGGTTCCCCCCTATAAGCAGGAGGCGCCAAAGACCCCGCCTCACGTGATCCTTCACTACGTGGCCTTCAAGACGGCCTGGGACTGGATGATTCTTTTCCTGACCGGTTACACCGCTGTGATGGTGCCCTTCAACGCGGCCTTCCGAAGCAAGACCATCGACGACGTCATCTTCCTAGTCATCGATAGTATCGTAGACGTCATCTTCTTCATCGACATTGTGCTGAACTTCCATACAACTTTCGTAGGACCTCAGGGAGAAGTGATATCTGATGCTACGGTTATTAGAATTAACTACCTCAAGGGATGGTTCATCGTCGACTTGCTCTCATGCCTTCCCTATGACGTATTTAACGCATTTCAGCCGGAAGCCACGCAGGTACTTGCTACTAACCACGAACATTTTATTCGTGCCCTGAAGTTAACACAACTGAGACAAAAAATACTGACATGAATACGCGGGTTCAACCACTTATCTGAAACGCGCGGTCTTAAAAGTAGGCTGGCTTTTTTCCTGCATCGTACCGAATAACGTCAAATCGCAGTTTAATAAATTTACGATTTGCGCCAAAATACGGAAGCAAGTCACCAATAAGGCACATCCCGTAGAAATCAATTTGCAACGATTTGTACCTAGAACAAGGGAAGAATCAACTCGTCTTTTCGCATTGGCTGCTTTAACTTCCTGTAATCACCAATTTGATGTGGTTGCAGCATTTTAGAATGTGCGAAAGCATTCCAAATTAATCCTTGTTGTTGTCTCAGGCAGCTCAGCCTTCAGCTTTAGATAATCCCCTCTTGTCGCCAGCGGTGATTCGTTGGTGCGTTTTCATTTTTTTAAATTTTGTTGCCAAAAAACGCGATTATCAATAATTTTTTTTTCTCATTTTATGCTTGCATGAAGTTTTAACCGGTTTCATTGGACAATGATGAACTACTAAAGTCAAATCCATCTGTGGCCAAGTAGGGGTTGAGCCAAGTCGTACCAGCTTATCCAGTGCACATCACACCTTAAACATTAATATTGCATTCTTCGAAGCCCTGAACCCAATTTCGACATTTCTTCTAATCCAT